GCCGTTCAGCGCGGCGTATATACCCCCCTAGAAAATGAAGCAGTGGGATTATAGGTAGAAGTGGGTAAATTGGTGGAAATTTAGGGAATTTTGGTAAATTTTACTGTTTCAGAGTGACTATATACCCCCGCTCGACGGCATTTTTGGAGGAAAAAGTGGGCGGGGTTTTGATGGAAGATGGAGATGGTGGAGGTAGGGAAAAGGGGGTCGTATCAAATCCACCTTGGGGGAGGGGGGTCGTAAAAATTTTCGAAAAGTAACAACGATAGGACTGACCCTGCTACCGGGCAGCTCTTCTGTTGATCGCTCCCCTTTACTCCTATACCGAGATCTTCCATTCTTTGAAAAATATTTCCTCACCGTCACATACTAGTGAGCCACAACTCTTCGGGCATATCTTTCGAATCCGCAGCCAATGGCGATCACATAGGCCACTTAGGGACCACTCACAACATAGTCGACTGTAATCATAGGCTTTCTCTGAAAGCAATTTAACTATTAAGTAGTATTCAAGTCTTCACAACTATTGAGGTTTGATGCTTGAACACCTATGCACTGCTATACAATGAACAAAAATGAATCCAAACAACTTGAGTAAATTAGATTTCAATTCCGAAAGTTTGGAAGAAGAGATGTAAACTTGGGGTATGTTCCCTGGAAAATCAAGCTGTGCTAAGGCAAAAGGCGAGAAACAGTATCGCAGAATTCAGTCAGCACTGGTTACAGCACAGCATGAGGATGGCAAAGATAATAGATGATAAGTGATGATAATGATGATCACAGTAATGGTATTACTTTTATCACGACAAATGTATGAACTGCTACATTACTAACAACGGAGTAAAACGCTGTCACCTGGTTGCATTTCAGCAAATACTTTCATCTTAGAGCTCGGATCAGTGAAGTGATGAACACGACGTGAAAGATCAGGAATCGGTGGCATTCCTTTTCCGACCGTCCCCAATGCGATCGCAGGAGCCAGCGGTGCAGGAGGTGGTATAACCTGAAAGGCTCTATTGACCATAGGCAAGAATGCGCCTCATGGAAGCTATAAGCCATCTCACACTTGATCAGGGTGACTAACGGTCAAGGAACAAGGCTCTGTGCTGTGCAAGAGCAGTGTCAGCAACGAAAGTGGAGAGCGCAGACGGCTCGGGATGGCGAGTGTGAATGTTAACGCGGGAGAGCGATGAGATTGATCAGGCGAAGAATCCTCGACAAGCCGTTGAGGAATCTACCGATATTCACTGAGCTTGCCATGCATTTTGATCGACATACTCTGTTTTGGTTCAAGCTCAACTACCTTACATATTCATAGCGGATTGATTCACCGAATTGCTTAATTTGAGTTTAACCATTTATTTATTTAACTAATGTACTATACAGAGATCTCACGGTCAACCGTGTCTCAATTAGTTGGTATTTAGCTTTTTTGGAAGTAAAGGGTCATTTTGGGTTGAGGAAGGCCAAGTGTGGAAGAAAGAGGGATCAGGGTTATTTTTGGAACGAAGAGGTCACGGTGGTAGCAGTGGGGGTCGTATTTAAGGGATTCGTCTTCGGGGAGAACTTCGTGAAAGAATCGCCAGGCGTCGTATTGGGGGAATCTTATAACTATGATGGTGACGGGGGGTCGTATCGAGGGGTTGCAAAATTTTCGAAATCCGGTGTTTAAATCTCAACGCATGGTTGACTCTAGGTCGAAAGAAGCTGAGTGGATCTCGAATACACCTTTTGAGTTACAGTTCACTTTTCTGTCCTCGTGAGCCTTTACGATTGAAGATAAAAGTCAAAGGCATGGTACACACCGAAAATCCAATAAATGAAAATATTATTACGACATTCTCTTTAGATATTACCATAATAATGTCTTACCTCGAAACGCGTTCCTCCAGTGTATTTACTGCCATATGCTTCCCTGAGAGCTGATCCTTCCGGCAGAGCCACTTCTGTGTCCGACGGAACTATGCGCATATTTTGATACGGTCGTTTGGGTGGAATATTCCATGATGGTGGAATTGACGGCATAATAGGTTCGCTAGGTCTATCTGCACTGGGAAAAAGATTGCTGGCGACCTCAGAAGGGAATTCGTTGTTCTCAATAGGCCGGAAACCGGGAGGTTGCGGTATGACGGGTCTAAGTGGCTCCTCATCCACTCCATTCATCTGATCATCAGGAACCTCCAGAAAATTGATATACTTTGGTACCAGTTCTTTATCTGGTGGTGGTACAATACTGTTCACGGAGGGTTTTGGAAGGTGAAATGGAGGAAACGCTGGTGGTGAAGGCTTAGGGGCCGGCGGTTGAGGTAACGCATATTGGTAATGTCGTATTGTACTGCTGCTATCGTGTGAGGATTCGGTGTTCACCATTGTTGGCCTGAAAACATTTGTTACTTATTCCTCCAGTTTTTGCCGTGGGTAAAATGTGTAAGTTGTAGCTTTCTACAGTAGCACCTCATTGATGACCTCACCAAATTTACCAAAAAGTAAAAAATGATATTTATCTGTTTTCAGTTTCACCTCTAGTCTGAAGATAGGAAGCTCTGAGGTATTCCATAATCTTTGAATGAATTACAAATACAAATTCAATTTTGAATGAACCGCGTCATTTATTTTGAAGCCCCACTGTAGAATCCGCTTAAATCGCTTTCGTTATTGACAATCAGCGTCTGCTCTCCCCAGATTGTATTGCACGGCGTTCTCAAGGAGGTTCCACTATATTTTTTTGAGAAAAATGGTATTTCCTATACTACTCATATTACCTTAAAGTTGTAGGATGTCTTTCTTTCTCTTCTGAGTTGCAAAGGGCAACGGTGGAGGGGACGATGAACTTCGTCGCCCGCTGGGAATGAACATAGAGCCGCGAAGAGGTGCAGCAGTAGAGAAATAAGAGGAAGTGATATAAAACCCT